ACTGGTCCAAGAGCCAGACTGCCAAACTAGTTGCCATCTCTCCTGTGTGTTAAACCGTGCCCAGCGCCTGGCCTGTCCACACCTACCCATCGCTTTCCCACCCATCCTTCCCTCCTTCCATCTGTCCACCCACCCATCATCCACTCATCCATCCACCATCCAACCTTCCATCCATCCTTCCATCTGTCTACCCACCCATCATCCACTCATCCATCCGCCATCCATCCTTCCTTCCTTCCATCCAACTACTCTGGACCATGCCCTCCTGGAGCTGCAGAGATGGCTGAGACACCATGGCCACCTTGAGCCTGCGGAGCCCCGGGGAACGGGGTGCTTCCCAGAACAAAGGCCCCTTTAGCTGGGTTATAAAGGACAAGTAGGACTTCGGCACTCAGGGAGAAGTGTGCTCCGGACAGACAGGACAGCACTCCGCGAGGCACGGAGGTGCGAGGGCTGCACGGCAGAGAGAGGGTGGGGATCCGAGAGGCCACCCAGAAGAGGCCCCTGTGGCCTCACAGCGGGTGGGGGCTCCGGCTCGGCTCCCTCACCCGCTCCCTGTCACTTCATCCCTGTGCTGGAAGACAGGGGCTTTGTGAGCTGAGGTCCCCTCAGAGACTCGGTCTGTCTTGGGCCTGAGCACAGGGAGCGGCTGGAGAAGGGCAGCAGGTGTCCCTCGGCGTGGCCGTCCTCGGGCGGCCTGGACTCGGGGCAGGAAGTGGTGTGGAGGGGGCCGCTGCCAAGCTCGGCTGGGCAGAGACAGCTGGAGGGGCCCTCGCAGAGGGCAGGGCCGCCGCACGGGCGCTCCTGAGCTCATCCAGCTCCTCACTGGGCCGCACTGTGGGGTGGGGACAAGCAGCGCCCCGTCGTGTGGTTCCTGCCCAGGGAACTTGAGGGGTGGCATGAAGTAAACTGAAAGAGGAGGCTCTGGAGCCAGCAGGGCCCTCACCCAGCCTCTGCGTCCCGGGTGACCCGGAGGGTGGCTCAAGGTGCCCCTCGTGGCCTTGGTCAGGAGGCTTAGCCTCTCGTGGACCCAGTTTCCTGCCCTGCACCGGGAAGGGAGTGAGGATTCTGTCTCCATATTGCGGGGACTGGGGACTGGGGACTAGCAGGTCCTGCCACTCTCGTCACCTTCTTAGAGACCCCAGGGATCATGAGCCCTGAGCTGCAGACCCTGCTGACAGTTGTCGCCCTAAGTGAGGATGTTGAATGAAGTATTCTTAGCTCCAGAGCATTGCAGCACCCACCACCACCTGCCAACCTGGCTCCCCGCTTTTGATCCCATCTTCTGTGGCTCTGGGAAGCCGACATCCTGGCAGGGAAGTAGGAGTCCGTGGGGAAAATCGAGAAGACCCAGGCCAGAGTCACCTTCCCTGCCCTGCCGTCTGCCTGCCCCGCACTTGCCTGGCAGTGGACATATCCAGGGGTTTCTAAACCTGACTGTTGAGCGAATTTACCTTGTTAAAGCACAGGTTCCCATGCCTGCTGAGCCCTAGCGCCTGAGGAAGCTGAAAACCATTCTAAAAACCAACTGGGCCAGCTAGGCGTGGTCACAAATTCCTGTCGTCCCAGATACTAGGAGGCCGAGACAGGAGGGTCAGAAGTTCAGACTAAGCTATATAGCAAGACCCTGTCAAAACAACAGCACAACAACAACAGCACAACAACAACAAGAACAGCCTGGTGCATTCCCAGCAAAGCAGGGCTCAGGCCCCGCCATCCAGCATGGCCCTGCCACTCTCCTCTGGGAGGACTGAGCTCCGGCAGCCAGCTGGGAGGACACAGGCTTCTCGGGGAACAGGACATTTCCAGACGGTCGCGCTATGCGCGAGACGCTGAGGCTCTGAGAACTTAGAAGCAGAAGACAAAGACAGCAGGTTGGGGGCAGGCCCAGGCCATGCCTGGGAGTGGGGGGCGGCACACTCAGGGGGCCCAGGGGAGGAGGGTGGGCGAGCAGATACCGGCCCTGCTCCCTCAGCCTGCCCAAGCCCGCCCCCACGTTTCTCACTCCAACCAGGCTCTTCCTCAGCCCCCCACCTGTCCCCACCGGGCCAGGCCTCTGCACCCTGTCCTGCTGGCCCTGAGATCACCGCAGCGCCGGCCGGCCTCTGCTGCCCGGTCTGTCCACAGCCCCGTGACCCTCACCGGCTGCGGTTTCTGCCGCTCAGCCCCCACCCCATCACCCTCTGAACGTGGCACCACCCC